TAATAGATGCGACTATATCGTCGCGTTGGTCACGTGTCGGTGACACCATTCTTCCGTCCGGTATAGAGCCGAATTCGCGTGGAACATAGAAAACCCTATTGGAATGTATACTATGCGAGGGGTGGAAAGGGTGCGGGGGACGACAGAAGCCATCAATTTGATCAATTGCAATTTTCCGATAGCAGTTTCGTTGACCGAGCTATAAAAACTATTGTAACTTCACGGACACGTACGTATGCGCGCGCGTATAGAGAGTGAAACGGCGAGAAAGCTCTATCAAGATCCTAAAAAAAGAGACTGCACGCTGCGTTGTGCATTATGCACTTTACGGTTGACGCAAGGATTTTATTTCTGGCGGACGCGATTTACGCTTTCGCTGGTGTACGCTCGTGACGGAATTATTTGCTCGGATTTGGAGATTCATTGTCGGCGCTAATCGATAGATCAATTGATAATGTTTTGTTATATTATTAAGGTCCTGTTATCAAGATCCTATTATTAAGGTTCTATTGTTAAAGTCCTTGCTATCAAAGTCTACGAGACGTAAGAATGTCGAAAAGAAAAAAAATGTTGCAATCGACGTCGCGCAACTCGATTCGTCGATTTTTATCCGAACGAATAAAGCACTTTTATTTCGTGAAATTTTGAAAGGCTGTAGCGATCGACGATAGCAGCATCGACGATCCACAACCTGCAGTCAATTTTCGAAGGAAGTTCGCGTCGCGAAGCATTCGAGCCTACGAAACTTTGTTCGAATTTGTTGTATGCAAGAGGATTGAAGAAGCGACCACTCTGATCAATAAGCAACTTCCTAATTTCAGGTGCCTTCACCGAACTATAATGCTATTGTAACTTGATAGATGGCCCAGAAGGCTTTGCGGGGATCTTCGGAAAGAAGACCGGAGGCACAGCGTGCATCTTGCACTTTACAATGGCCCGAGGTTTCTGCGTAACGTCGTCGAAAAGCAACGTTGTTTATCGGCGAATATAATTTAAGCCGGTGACCGTGTTATCGAATGAATTAGTATCGCGAACGTTCCACAGCATAAAAATAGAAAGGATCGCAGAGGTCGATCGCGAATCCAGAGAACCGCGCGAAGCTGTTTTTCACAAATGGACGATGCGCATCGTGCACTCGTCGACGGTGCATCGTGCGCTTTATGACCGTGCATCGGTGCACTTTACGAGGTTCCGTGCGAATTATGATGGAGAAAGACGACTCGCGGTTTCCCGATGGGCGTAATTAACGCGTCGACTGCCTTAGAAATCGATCGATGTGATTATTATGCTAGCGATCGCTTCGATCGGTTGCGAATCGAGAGGATTCCGTGTTCGGAAAGCTTTATGAAAATTCCGGAAAATATTTGAAAATTATGCACTTTCTGGTAGCATAAGCAATCGTGCGCACGCGAATGGCGAACATAATTCGCGATCCATAAGATTAACGGCTGCCGAATCGATCTACAGTAATGTCTCCCTCATTGACGCTTAGATTTCGCACAAAAATGGACAATTTGGGAAGAGTAAATACGATTATTCTATCCTTGCGACTCATTTTTATAGTTATTGACAATCGGTAATTATAAAAAACGAACCGCAAGGCTCGAACAATCGCGTCTCCTCTTCCAAAATTGTCTATTATAGCGCACAATTTGGGCGACAATTAAAGAGACATTACTATATCTTGCGCTATGCTTCGATCAGTTCGAAGAATAAATCAGCGCCGTGAAATATCAGGGAACGCAGCAGCAATATCGACAAAGCCGTCGCTTTGTGCATTGACATCTTGCTAATTCCGGCCTCCTTGATCGAATCACCGTTGTACAATGCTATCGAAGTTGTAGCGATACCGAATATCGTAATGCTATTGAAGTTACCCGTGTCCAAACACAGGTCTACGAAGATCCTCTCGGCGAAGATTACGTCCGATGCGCATCGCGCATAGGTAAAGGATCGCATAAATTCTGGCCGAGAAAGCCGGCTCGCTTGATTCGCGATAAAAGCGATTAACATGTTGCTCGCTGCAGCGTTCCCTATCGGTTTCGGAGGTCAATTTTTATCGCGCAACATTCTCACGCCCGAACTTACGTTAACGCGGAGCGTCGAACGCGACGAACGCCCGCCGAACGACAGGATCGCGACCATTCGTTCGGTAGAATCGATCGCGACTTTTTAGCAGAATCACGGATCGCGATAATCGCAATTTTAGCCCGCGGAATCGTGGATCGCAAATTTCTCCGAGTGTATCCCGAGTCGAAGACAGCGACGGTTAAAAAACCGTAACGCATAAAAATCAGTCCTGCGATTTTTCGAGTTTCTAATCCAGTAATCAACGAGCTCCGTACGCGATATTCGACGCCCTTTTCCCGCCTTCTCGCCGAAAGATCGTTCAAAGAGTCGTCTCCCATTTGCTCCTTTACGTCCATTAGTTGACATATTCGCGACCACTGTCGCACACGCGTGATTATCGCTCCCTCGCAGTTCGCCGAACAATAGATTCCGATTAAACGTTGCCCCCCGAAAGCGATAATCCAGAGCGCAGGAATCCTCGCGACTTCGTTTCGACGGATCGCCGAAAAGCTTCGTAACGTCGGGCCACGATATCGGACCGCAACGTCGGTCTGTACAGGGTGTTTCGCGAGAACGGGGCCTGCTCGCGGAGGCAAGAATATTCGAAGACATCGAACACCGCAGTCCCTCGCTCGAACAAAATCCTAAAAAGGCGATCTTATCCGAAGNGCTCGAACAATCGCGTCTCCTCTTCCAAAATTGTCTATTATAGCGCACAATTTGGGCGACAATTAAAGAGACATTACTATATCTTGCGCTATGCTTCGATCAGTTCGAAGAATAAATCAGCGCCGTGAAATATCAGGGAACGCAGCAGCAATATCGACAAAGCCGTCGCTTTGTGCATTGACATCTTGCTAATTCCGGCCTCCTTGATCGAATCACCGTTGTACAATGCTATCGAAGTTGTAGCGATACCGAATATCGTAATGCTATTGAAGTTACCCGTGTCCAAACACAGGTCTACGAAGATCCTCTCGGCGAAGATTACGTCCGATGCGCATCGCGCATAGGTAAAGGATCGCATAAATTCTGGCCGAGAAAGCCGGCTCGCTTGATTCGCGATAAAAGCGATTAACATGTTGCTCGCTGCAGCGTTCCCTATCGGTTTCGGAGGTCAATTTTTATCGCGCAACATTCTCACGCCCGAACTTACGTTAACGCGGAGCGTCGAACGCGACGAACGCCCGCCGAACGACAGGATCGCGACCATTCGTTCGGTAGAATCGATCGCGACTTTTTAGCAGAATCACGGATCGCGATAATCGCAATTTTAGCCCGCGGAATCGTGGATCGCAAATTTCTCCGAGTGTATCCCGAGTCGAAGACAGCGACGGTTAAAAAACCGTAACGCATAAAAATCAGTCCTGCGATTTTTCGAGTTTCTAATCCAGTAATCAACGAGCTCCGTACGCGATATTCGACGCCCTTTTCCCGCCTTCTCGCCGAAAGATCGTTCAAAGAGTCGTCTCCCATTTGCTCCTTTACGTCCATTAGTTGACATATTCGCGACCACTGTCGCACACGCGTGATTATCGCTCCCTCGCAGTTCGCCGAACAATAGATTCCGATTAAACGTTGCCCCCCGAAAGCGATAATCCAGAGCGCAGGAATCCTCGCGACTTCGTTTCGACGGATCGCCGAAAAGCTTCGTAACGTCGGGCCACGATATCGGACCGCAACGTCGGTCTGTACAGGGTGTTTCGCGAGAACGGGGCCTGCTCGCGGAGGCAAGAATATTCGAAGACATCGAACACCGCAGTCCCTCGCTCGAACAAAATCCTAAAAAGGCGATCTTATCCGAAGCGATCGGTACGCTGCGGATTTCGATGCGGAACAAGAATTGTCCGAGCCAAAAATTGCGATCGCACGAAACGGGCAAGTCGGATGAGAAATGTTCGCCAAATCGTTGCGGCAAGTTGCAACCCGATACAAAACTGTACGAAAATCCTGCGAACGTCTCCACGAATTTGTCTTCGACCCCGGTGCTGTCAAAAAATCCATCGAATCCGCTGCTCGGCGACGAATCGCGGCGACAGTTCGGGCACGGTTCGACGCGTGAAATCGTGGCGAATCGATCCGCGGAAACGGCTAAACGCTGGCGCGATCCTCGCGAGCGGAACCGTCGACCAAAACCAGCTTTTCAACGATCCATTACGTGGATCCGCGGACGTAATGGTCGCGGAAAGAGGGCGAAACCACCCCGAGCGAGCCGCCTTGTTTAGGCGAACGGGAGACCCGCGGACCGGGGTTCGCGCGACCATACACCCAAGATAGATCGTTCGCTGGCGATCGATTCGCCGCGTCGACCGGCGCCCGTTTTCCATATGAAATTAGTCCGCAGATTTATCGCGACGATTACAAGCTAGTTATTCATGGCGAACCCTTAACACCGTTCCCCTATCGATGGACTACATCTATCCCTTTCCCGCGGCATTAGAAAAGGAGACGTCGACCGAGCCGTCATAGGGTGCCGCGAGGCGGCACAGGGCAGCAGAGGGCGGTTCTGGATCGAAGGATCCCTTTTGCGCGAAAAACTCGAGCACTCGGCTTCGCGAAGATCATTCTCTCCGGCAAGGTGTGCCGCGGTCGTCGAGAAAACAACGTCGATCGCGAACGTTCGTTCGTTCGTTCCGGAAGTCTTTAACGCGGCCGTGTTCCGTCGCCGAACTTTAACCCCGTCCCCGCGGTCACTGGAACGTGGACAACGAGCGACCTCGTCGAGAACAAATCGTTGCAAGATAACAAAATACGGCGCACGAGTTAGCAGAAGACGGTGCAAAAAGCGGTTCCCGGAGATCGAACGATCCCGTTCGCCGCTCGCGAAGATCGTTTCCTCCGTTTCCGCGGAGCGGCGAGGGGTGCGCCAGCAAGGGGTGCTGCCGCGGCAAGTTATCGAGAAACAATGTTGATCATGAAAATTCATTCACCCGTCACTGAAGCGACCTTCCCGGAAAGTTATCCTGCCGAAGACGCGCGCGCTCCGGAAAGTGATCTGCGGGCTTCCGGGCGGCGGGGGACGATCGAACGGTAATTATCGACGGGTCGTCGACGACGATGATGGTCGATCGGTGTGAACACTAATCGGGCCGAGACGTGCACGCGACGGTAGCGCGGTTAGAGCGTCGCGGCGACACCGTAGCACAGGACGCGCGACGACGCGGACAACGCCAGGAAAAATACGCGTACGCTCGCGACGATCGCGGGCTGAACACTGGCACGTCGCGTCGCCCGGACTTTTAGTTCGTGGCGCCACCGAGAAGCGTCGCGACGCTTCCCGCGCCCCACTCCGGGATTCAGCCCTTGGTCCGTAGTCCGTGTCCGTGCAGGTCGGCTAGCCGGCTCGACTCGGCTCCTTCGAATCGTGCGCCGCGTTTCGTGCTGTCCCTCGCCCTCTCTCTCTCTCTCTCTCACTCTCTCTCTTTCTCTCTCTCGATCTCTTTTACTCGCTCTCTCGCTCTCTCGCTCTCTTTTACTCTCTCTCGCGCTCTCTATCGCTCGCTCTCTCGCTCTAGCCGTCTCTCACCCTGCTGGCAGAGGCATCGCCCTCGCCCTCGCCCTCGCCTCACCCTCGCCCACGCCCGCGCCATCGCCCTCGACCCGATCCTTCTCGTATTTCTATTATCAATCGCCGTGACGCCTCCTATCATCACCTGCATCTCTGTAGTCTTCCGACGTCGACGACGACGTTCGCGTCGCTCCTCTCTGGATGACGGGATGACGCGGCTTTATATTATACCTGCGAAACCAGCGAGCGTTCTGCGAGCCAGTTACTGTGGCCTAGCCAATTACTGTGCCCTTTCTTTGCTCTGGAGCATGATTAACTTTGTACTCATCGTAGAAGGGCCGTCGGCTTTTTGTTATTGACATTCAATTCGTGTCGAAGGCCGGAGCACTTGGAGTGCCGCGACAATTATTTGAATTTTTTGAATTTCGGAATTTTATGTAAAGCTTCTGAAAAGAGCTTTAGGAAATACTTGAGGTACGATGATCGATATTCGGTCGAATAGATCGTTTTAGGCGAGATATCGCAGTATTAATTCCATTGGTAATTAAGCCTCGAATCTAAAATCATCTCTGTGATATGTCTCAAGAGGAGAAATGTAAATGTAAAACTTTGTTGAAGCAGTCGCCTCTAACTTGAACTTTTCTATAACTAACTACAATAATGTCTCTCTAATTGACGCTCAGATTGTCCAGTAAAATGGACAATTCAGGGAGAGCAGATATGATTTATTCGAGCCTTGCGGTTCGTTTTTATAGCTACGAATTGTCAACAACTATAAAAATGAGCTGCAAGGCTCGAATAATCGTATCTCCTCTTCCCAAAATGTCCATTTCTGCGTGTAATTATTGAGCGTCGATTAGGGAGAGCCGCGTGGCTCGAATAATCGCATCTTCTCGTCCCAAATTATCCATTTTTGTGTGCAATTTTTGAGCATCAGTTAGAGAGACATTACTGTATTATCATATCACGTGAACGTCGACTGTTCCACGAATCGGGACAATGTAAATATCGGAGTACCCAACGTGGAAACAGTGTACGCATACATTCGCAAAAATTATGCTCGGTTCTATATTTCTGTCGAAAATATGCTCCGCACGAGCGTCGACTCGTATTAATTTTGCGATCGCATCAATTTGGCGATCCGCTTGCAACTCCGTGAAAACAGCCCCTAAATCGTCGACGTTACAAACTATGTATTCCAACTTCGTGGAAAAAAACTCGCGCCGACGACAAACCGCGCGCGCCCCGTTTTGTCCGAAACTCGGAACGCGTTCCAATGTTCGCTTATTAAATTATTGAAATTCACTTATTAAAATTATCCGAACGAAAGCGTGCAAAAGGCGTCCCGCGATATTCTCGAACGCTTTCTGCGGCCACTGTACGCGAACGGTGTAGGAGAGTTTCATTAATCTTCCGCGCGGAATAAGATTTCCTTGTCCGTAAATAGAGAGGCCCCGACCGAGCCCCGCAGCCAATGTATCTGAAGGGAATTATTCGGTCAGCGATTTCGATTTAGGCGAGCACATGTATTCCCTTCGCGTGCACTTGCGTGAGATCCGATCTCTCGTTAACGCTTCGCTTCTGGCGCGACCTTATTGTTCCCCGAGACGATAAACTCTCGATCCCGAAATCAAAATCGTTTTTACGCGGCGCTAGGCCGTTCTCTTTGCGCAACAGTCGTTCCAATAGGACCGAAGGGAGATTTTGTGAAATTTCTGTTAAGGGAAATTCTCCGTAAATGACGCTCAGATTTTACACGAAAATGGGGAATTTGAGGAGAGGAGATACGATTATTCCAGCCTTGCGGCTTGTTTCTATTGTTACCAACAACTATACAAGGTGTGAGGCTCGAATAGTCGCATCTTCTTTACCCAGATTGTCCATTTTTTTGTAGAATCTGGGCGTCGATTAGAGAGAATTTACTGTATGCCGCTTTTAATTCCAAGATTCCATAAATGACCCGTTACAGCTTCCCCTTAAATTGTTCCGGCTTCCAACGTGCTGCGTCTCCGAAAAATTTTTTCGATGGAAATGAATTACATACAAAAAAAGTAGAAATTCCAGGCTTCAAAATGAGTTTAGTTTCGTTGCTCTACGATTTTTATTCGCGAAGTTACAGTACTTTGAATATCTTCGATGTTTCGGGGGTTGGAAATTTCGCGTAAAATCTGGATCGAAGTTCTTCATCCACCGTGTCGCGAATAAATTTTTTTAAAGAAATCGACGAACGGCTACCGAAAGTAGATACTTTGGGCTTTAAAACGAGCCAAGTTCCATCGCTGTGCGATTTTTTTGCACAAAGTTATAGCTGTTCGAATATCGTCAATTTTTCGAAAAATCGAGATTTTGTATGAAATCTAGAACGAGGTTTCCCATCCGTCATATCATAAACCAATTTTTTTAGAAGAAACTGAGCAATATCTTCCGAAAGCAGACACTCCGGGCTTTAAAACGAGCCAAGTTCCATCGTTGTACGATTTTTTCGCACAAAGTTATAGCTGTCCGAATATCAACAATTTTTTCGAAAATTTGAAACTTCGACAAAAGTAGTAGGCGGCTCGAATAATCGTATCTCCTCTCCCCAAGTTGTCCATTTTCGTGCAGAAACCGAGCGTCAATTAGGGAGAATTTACTGTACTCGTTACGTGCCACTGCGGAACGCCGCTGTGGTTATTTCTCCGGCGAACAAGCTATATTTTATTTCTCATCTGGCAAACTCGAACATACGCGCGTAATATATGTTAAATATGCGAAGAGTTAAGGGCGTGCGACAAAATGGTCGACTTCCGACTCGGTAGCAACAGGAGCGAGATCGACGGCAGCCAACAACTGTCGACGGCTCGCCTAATTTTCGATAGACTCTGCGACGAGCAGCTCGCTAGTTAGCCGCGGACCCGTTAATTGACTTCGTTAAACAGCGACTGTTTCGAGCAGTCCGGTACACGTCGCCGCTCAAACGGGGGCCTCTTTATCCTTGAAAAACTTGAAATCCTTTTTCCCCCGGTTTCTTTCCGAGCCCGACCGGCTCGGCGAAACATCGATTTCCTGTTTGACGACAACTTACGATTTAATGAGTGAGCGAGGCGCAGCCGGGGGAGAGAAAGTAACGAGCCGAGGCGTTTCTCTCCCTCTCTCTTTAGCTTTTCCAGCCTCCCGTCGATTTTTGAGGTCTCCGGCATTTTCGAGATTTCTCCCGGAAGTCGGCCATCTTGTTAAATAATTTCAATTTTTACAAGGTCGTGTCTAGTTCAATTAATTATTATCAATTCATTCGATTAAATCCCTCGTCCGATCATAGACGATTAACGATCGTAGCCTCGTTTAGTTGTTACAACTGATTTATGATAATTGAGCAAGGATTAATCGGGCAAAAGGTAATACGAATAATGATTAAGAAATGATTATAAAATCTTCGCTTGTTATAAATTATTATAGATCAGTTGTAAGACGAGTAGTAATCGTTAATCACTAGTCAGATTACTTTTTCCCGACTCTGATCGCTTTCCTCTCTCACTATCTCTTTCTCTCTCTCTCTTTCTCTCTCGCGACCGAGCGCGCGATCTTTCTATACTTTATATTGACTACGTCATTGCGGTAAAAGGAAGCTTATAGGGATTCTCGGTACCGGCAGTCCCGCTGTAGTTTCCGCCGCGAGTGGAAACGGTAAGAACTCTCCTTTACGCATCCCCTCGGTGTATCGGGACCGGAGCCTTTCAGCGGGATCGCGTCGAACGTTTCGCCGACTACGGGAATAACGAATAAGAAGGCGGCCACGGCAAAGAACCGGGAAAAATCCCGCTAAAGAAAATAAATGCGGCTCCCCTCTCCTCTTCCTACCGTTCTACGCTCACCCTCCTGCTCCAATGTCCTACGCCTCTCTTTCTTCCTCTCTCTCCCTCTCTCCCTCTCTCTCTCTCTCTCTCTTTCTCTCTCTCTCTCTCGCTCGGCGTTTATCGGCGTACACCGTTGTTTTTCTCCCATGTTATCGGCGCATTGGAAGTAAGTTTCTGCGAAGCTCCGCTGCAACATCTAGAAATTAGAGCAATCGTCGTTCGGCTCGTTAATGTACGCCGTGCTCCCGAATAATTAGTGTAATGTCACCCTAACTGACGCTCGGATTGTGCAGAAAAATGGACAATTCGGGAAGAGGAGATACGATTATTCCAGCCTCGCGGTGCGTTTTTATAGTTACGAATTGTCAACAACTGTGAGAACGAGTTGCAAGGCTCGAATAATCGTATCTCCTCTTCCAAAATTGACCATTTTTTAACCTGACATTTCGGGCTTTAAAACAAGCCGAGCTCCATCGTTGTACGATCTTTTTACACAAAGTTATAACTGTTCGAATATCATCAACTTTTTCGCCCGAATCGTGTCTTAGTATTCTCGTATCTGCCGGTTTCAATTCCACGCTCCGAATGACGATTCCTTGGCTCTATGGAAATAAATTCCATAGACTCAAAAACATTACGCGACCTGCGACGCCACTAAAATCGAGCCGCAAGGCCCGAATAATTAGTATACAGTAATGTCTGCCTAACTGACGATGGTCGCTCATCGTTAAGGGACGAATCTGACGTAATTACTTGGGTATCGATGATTCTTTATGAACTGATTTGAAGCGAGGTACGTTGGAGGAACTGTAGTTCAGCCGTAGATCAGCATGGAACTGAGCAAACACCCGGTATATCGTTGA